TCAGCTTACAGTATTTTCTTTTAGCATCCCCAAAATTACAAACTTCCTTCCTTGGATGTTAACCTTAGAAAATCCTTCCCAAACCTCTCTTCTCTAAGTTTTGAGATTAGATAGGGAGCAGGAAAAGATTGGGATTTATCCACAAACCAGGACGTGTAGAGAGCCAAAGACCATACACATAAAATTAATTCAGTGTGCTCTTGAAACGCTGATTCCAGCCCTCTCCCCTTTCATCTGCGAGCTCAGGGACTCGGAAATCTGCATTTCTAACAAGTGCCTCAATGAATTCTGACGTAGCTACAATGCAAAATCTTTAAAGGAAGACATAAATCTTCATGTAATAAAGTTTTTAGAGAAAAGGAGACATTTAAACCCATACATTTCCTTATGAATTTTTACAGTATGTGAAAAATCTTAATAGTCAATTGGAAGAAAGTCGTCTAGGCAAAGGACATACAGTTGAAACCTGATAACATGCAGTGGAGTTTTCATTTGCAGAGTAACACAGCATCAACCTCATGCCTTGTTCACAAACACTCTGAATATTTTCCCCTTAAACGTTGAAATCCCAAACAGAATCTTGGCTATGTTAGATATGAAAAAAAATTCATTAAGTGGAACAACATAGTCCAAATATTATAAATCAGTTTAATTTAATAATTAGAATGCATATTTTTCCCAAATGACAGTGGCATTAAATGTTTAAGATATCCTGTGGGGTCCTATCTGATGCTTCTGACTGCTGCATCACTGTACATACTTCCTAAGTCTTTGTCTTACTATATTTTACTAAGTTTTATAAAGTTAACACATGCTTACATAAAATTCCAGATTTGACCACAATGTGCTGAAAACTGCAGATCAACAATTTCACAATTCCAGAAGGGATAACTGCTCAAAGTTTTGGATGGGCCAATGAAGAGTCTTTTATTAGTTATACAAAATATACATTTTATATTTCTTCTTTACAGTGTCAAAATTCAATTTATTTGTAAATCAATCAGGTGAAAAGCAAAAGGTGGCCATTCACAGACAGATGCTGATCCATTTAACCGTCGCCCCCAGTGTGCATATTTTCTCTCCAATCCCTTGAGGTTCTGCAATCACTGTAATAACACCTATCTAAACCTATGAACTTGCATTAATTCCAAAAAAAATGAGATCTTCCGAAGTTTTATATAATTAATCATCCAGCTGTTCACTTGGCCAGGAATCATAACTAGGGAATGTACTAGTCCGCCAGTGGCACTCAGGAAATAGAATCAAAAGTAAGGTCTGACTAGACAGCATGTTGCTGTGGTTTAGAACTGGATGTCTGTAGACTCAGTTCTCAGCTCTGGCTGCACATTTCCCAGATGTTCAGAGCTTGTAAACACACACACACACACACACACACACACACAGAGATAAAATGAGAATGGGGGATGGGCAGGGCAATATAGAATACATGTAATCTTTCTTACCAAACTCTTAGTAAAAAATATTAAGTAGTGAAACAAAATGGAACTTTCTAGAAAAGTTGCAATCAAGAAGAGTCTATTGAGGTAGCTCTTGAGATACCACTTTGTGAAACATGGTGGTTGTAGGTGAGATGAAGCGTGCTCTGGCTTATATCTAGGTGTCTTCCCAAAGCCTCATGGACCCAAGGTGGGGTTATACGAGGTGGCTGAACCATGGGTGTGTGACACTGGATCATGGGTGTGTGATAGTGGATTTGTCCACCAATGGGCTAACAGCTGTGTGTGATGTTGGTGGGTGACCAACTGTGGACTGAAACCTGTACAAATGTAAGCCAAAATTAACCTTTACCCCTGAAGTGGTGGATGTCAGCTACTATGCCTCAGCAGTGAGGAAGTAACTAAGACAAAGAGAGAAGCCCATATTCTGGATATAATTTGGAGGTGCCATCACAGACGTGCTTGTGGTGTATAAACTTGAAAACTGAATATAAGGGGAGTAGGAGGTGTAAAGAATTAATTATTCACGGGAATCAAATTGAGTTGATTATGAAACACTCAACTTTTATTTTGACTATGCTAGAAAATATTTTGATTAGGTGCTAGTAATGGGATATATGCAAATTGGAAAGAAAAGCACACAAAGGAGCGGAATCTCTGAGCCTTAGGGCTCCTAAAGTGTTTGTCTATGCCCATGCCCCTAGGGTTGTCATGATGATCCTGACATGGTAAAGGAACTTACCATGAGCCCGCATATGTGCATTATTCCTCATGTTGCTGTATATGCTTATTTTACAGTTTAAAAAAAGAGGAAAAGGAGGAATAGAAGAAAGTAGAGGGGAGTGAGGGGGAGAAATAAGAATGAAATATAAATTACTGAAAACTACTGCTTCTTGCTGACTTCTACATATCTGAAGGGTGTCATGCAGGAGAAAATAACAGTGGCTTAGATGTCGGGTGCTGCAGCATGTATGGCTTGCAAGTGAGCTATGAGTAAGGTAACGCCTTCTGATGTAGAAAGCACCCAGCCCCTGCTCTTTCTGTACGATGGTTTTGCAAACACCAGAGGTTTTCTTCACCTTTCTGACATTTTATTTCCTCATCTGCAATTTGCCCATGCTGGCTCAGCGTCATTCTGAAGGTCTCTCGAGCTTTCGAATTTTAGAATCTGTAAGTCTAATTACAGGACTTTTCAAATTCTTATTGTCCCCAGTTTCCCGCAGCAATTTTGAATACTGCATTGGGCAGTGTGCTGATGAAGCCTACCAACATGGTATCACGGTGTAGTTCCTACTTGAATGTTGGGGAAGCTTTTGTTTATGAGTTCATGAGACAGTGATACGGCTGGAACGTGTCATCACTTCACTCAGTCATCAAGGGTGGGAGCAATTTCTTGGCTGGATTGTACAGTAGCTCTTCAATATTTTCTCAGATTTTTGTGCTTTCACAATAGCAGCCACAGACACGATGCCCTTTTATGTTTAATCTGCATTTTACAGAAGGAATTGTTTTTGAGGGTATCATACATAGTCACAAACTCATTTAACAGGCACAGTGGAACTTGAAGTAATCTTAATAAAAAGTTGAGGCAACAGTAACTTTTGTGGATAAAGAGACATTCTAGAAGAACTTTTAATATGTTTTTGTTAAAGAAAGTGACACTTTTCATAGTGCAAACGCAAATCTTAGTTTGTTCAGAGACATTATAGGTAACAAAGTGAGGTGGATATTCTCCAGATACATTGATTTCATTTTTTCCCTTTTCATCTAGGGTTTTTCAGGGAAAGTAAATGCAGACAGTGTAGTGTACTATCGGCTCCAGCCTTCTATCAAAGCCAGATTTCTAAACTTCACCCCTCAGGAATGAAGCCCCAAGGGCAGAATTGGAATGCGAATCGAAGTGTTTGGATGTGCATACCATAAGTGGTTGTTTCTACCACACACTGAAGCAGGTATCACAGGAGATGTTTAAAAACCAAAATGCAAGCTGTAATTGACTTTTTAGATATATAAAGAGATATAAAGACAGGAATGACACTTGTAGGAGGTTCTTTAAGCCCATACATGACAATATTTACTTTATTGATCAACCTTAACATTTTTAACTTAAAGATGGAAAGCATTTTGTAGATAGATGGGTGGATGATACAGAGATAAATATATGGTTGTAGGTACATATTTATAGATCTATCCGAATACATTTCTTTACAAATTTAATATTATTGACTAGATCCTAATCTTCAAACGTAAGAACTTTCCCCCAGGGGTTATATTTGTAGATGTTTAACTTAAGCACCCTCAATTTAAGAAGAGAGATAGTAGTCCATTTAGTATCACCAGTCAACTGTTATGAAACCAAAAAACGTTTTTCTCTATAGCCTAAAAATAAAATGTCATGCAATTCATTTTTAAATATGCTCTACCCTCAGCATAAATTAATAGAAAAAGTAAAGACCACTGCCAGAATATAAAATGTGTTTGAAATATTTTCACATAAAACGGCAGAAACCACAGATTTCACTTAGTCTCCTCTTAATGAGGCATTTTATTATATCTTTGTGTGTGGAAGAGATCTAAGGGTTATTGATAGTCTACCTCAAGCCACACCATCCTGTTAGATGATCTTGTATTATAGCACAATGTGTTAGTTAAATGATCTACAATTATCAGATGAGCAGTCTGAGGTTTGGGGAGATTCAGCAATTTGCATGGTTCTTCACAGATAGTATACGAAAGTGTCCAGCAAAGAACATGGGACTTTTTCATTTTACCACCTCATGGCCTCTAGTAAACATTTATTTTTCAAAGCTTTTTTCACACATAGTCTACCACTTTGTGAGGTAATCCCCAATAGATTCTGGTTTACTTATTTTACATAAAAGGTAAACACGTTGTAAAGAAGTTAAGTGACTTAATGATGTTTAAATTCTATCAGACAGAGACACCATATTGTACAGATTGCTAAGATCCTTGGATAGTTAGTGGTGTTTCTGGTACACAACTCTGCCATCAAACTCCTTATATGACAGCAGCAACA